GTTAAAAAATCCTCAAAATAAGCATCTTGGGGTATTAGATAATTCCAACTTTATGTTGCTTAATGTGCAAGTAATTGTGCAACATGTACTGGTCCAAGTGTAGAAGATTGTACAGCTTGTGTATCACCTTATGTATTATTGGATCCAGAAGATGGTAATGGATCAGGTTGTGTATTAAAAGGAGATTGGGTTGAATTTACATCAGAATTTTAAGGTTCAAGTTGGACAGCTAATGAAGATTGGAAAGTTGCTGATGGTAAAAATGGACCAGATTTTACAACAACATGTGGGGATTTTAAATTCTTTGGTGGTTATGAAAAAACAGGAAAAGATGCTAAAATAACTAGAAAGTTTAATTTACCAGCTCATAAAAGAATTAGAATAGCTTTTGAAGCTTGGAAAATTGATAATTGGAATGGAGAAGATTATGTTGTTAAAGTTGATGGATTAAATGTATGGTCTAGAACATTTGGATTTGGAGATCCTGGACTTGCTGATATATGTGGTGGTGATGGATTTGAAAATTACGCTATTGTTGATTTTATTATTGGACATGAAGCATCTACGTTAGATTTGGTTATATCAACTACTATTGGTAAAGATAATAATAATGCTTCGTTTGCTCTTAAAGGATTTAAACTTTATTATGAAAAACCAGATGCTTGTGCTACACTTTATACTGAATGTAATTTTACAGGTAATATTTTTATTCTATTTACAAATTAGGAAAATCATTTAATATGTGTGAAGATTTACCTAATTTCCAATTAGCTAAATACCCAAGCAAAATTAAATCTATTCAAGTACCTGCTGGTGCTAAAGTTGTTCTTTTTGATGAAATGGACTATAATGGTATTCAATATATTATATTAATTTTAAGGAAAAACTATCGAATATACTGAAAATCAAAAATGTATTGAATAATATGAATTCAAATTCCTTTAAAAAAACTAATAAAGCTATGTCTTAACAGCAAACAATTGATATATTTACATAAAATATAATCATAAAAATCCAACTTTTTTTTTTGTATTTTTACTACGATCTTATTTGGACTCGTTCTTGTCATTTTCTAAAATTTATTATCCTTTTCCATCAAACATATCTTATAAAGTATTTTCATAACTTTACCAAATCTATTCCTCTATATAATCAATTTTTATTACTTACTTTTTTTCATATTTGAAGATGGATTATCATTTTTATTTTATTATTATGGTAATCTCTTCTTCATTTATTAAACTACTTTATTCACTTTATTTAATGCATAATATTATATAAAATAATTTGCGGTTGGAGTAAAATTTATTTAACAAACTTTTTCTTAATCAATTTAATCATCTAAAATATATATACTCAAGTCTTCATCATTATCTCTACCTTTATATTAAGCTCTTTCTTTTTCATTCAATCTTCTTATGTAATCTTATTCTAATTAAGAATAAGCAGATTTATAATTATTGCATCTATTTTCTAAAGAATGGATTGTTAATAATAAAGGATTTACTATATCATTAACAATTATTTTGTTATGATATTATTCATCCACAACTTTACAATCAAAAACCCATGTTAGAGTATAAATCTTTATAACATTACTGTAACCGTAATATAAGGAAGACTCATTCAACTTAAAGGAATATTCTGCTGATGGATCAAATTTTAAAGCTAATTCTAATAAATCTAACACTCCTTAAAAATTTGTAGTTTATATTGATTTATTGTATAATTCCTTATCTTTTTAAATACGATCTTTGTTCAATTTACATATCCATGATTATCTTAAATTTGTGATGTCTTTTTATTTTTAAAATACAATTACAAATTAAACATTTATCAATATTAATTCCAGCTCTTAATAAGTAGGGTGTGTTTCTACATCCAGTCCATAAAGGTTAAGCTCAAATTAATTTAGAATTAATACCTTTAATAAAAATTAGATCTTCCTCTTCCACATTCATTTTTAATAATCTTAATTTAATTTAATGAAATCCCATTAACATTATATAAATTGATTTAAAATTATTTAGAGTTAACAATATCCATCATTATTTAAATCCTAACTAAATTATTCATTTCTCTATGATTACTATTGATTCAGTATCTATAGACCTTTAATAATAATAATTAAAGCTCCACGACGGGGTTTATTGATTTTTATATTTCAATGGATAATATTTATTTACCGATTTATAATGCATTATAATATCTTTCAAAAGATTTTTTACTAGCAAAATAATTATGAACAACCATATATTATTAAATATTTTATCAAATGGGATGTGCCATAAAAAAAGAAAAACAATTTTCAACTATCAATATTAATGAATAAAATACCATTTATTTTGTGATAATTAATGGAGACTAACAATTCAAAAAGGTTAAACAACAATATAAATTTACAAATTCAGTCCCTATTTTAGGGTCTATAGGTATTATTTAACATTCAGTAAAATCTAGGATAAAGTTCTATTATTACAAGAAGAAATAAACAGTTTAAGTCAGAAAAAAGTAAAATGGTATTAGAAATGAATAATATCGAGACTTCAATTTACATACAAAATAAAAAATGAATTAATATATATTTCTAAGTATCATAAAGATGACAATTAATTTTTATGAGTAACTTCTCACATATCATATTAATCTTTGATGAGTATAATTTTGAAATAATAATGTACTTTTTCATTCTAAGTTAACAAGTTATTATTTAAAAATTCTTAATTACTTCGTTTTTAGAGGTTAAAAAATAATATTTAATTATCAATTTAAAAATAATTAAATAATTTTACAATTCCTAATAATGGAAGAAAGAATAATTCAATTTGCACCATTTTTTTATCAAAAAAGAACTAATATAATAACGTAATTGTAAAATCAATCTTAAAAGTAAATATATTAGTTCTACAACTTAGCCATTTTAAGGAATTCATAAAAAAATGAAAAGAGAAGATTGGTAGTATCTCATAATCGATATAGAATATTTAATTCCATAGACTTTGATTACATATCAAGAGTTAAAAAAGCAAATTTATTGTAAAGGATTATAAGAAAGAGATTTAAAATAAAAAATTCCAAAATTTCATAATCATAATTTGAGAAAAAGAATGGATTAAAAAATTTCTAATTTACAAATATAACAAATTCTATCAGAAATTAGATAAAAAGAAGAATAATAAGAATGACAATAGTAATAAAATTTAGTTGATCCAGTGAAAAGAAGAAATGCTAAGAAATGTATTAAATTAAATGAATAAAAAGAAAAACGATATTAGTGTTAACTTAAATGATTAAAACGAAAAAATCGATATTGGTTACAAAATAACAATAAATTTATGAGGAGCTTTGATTGCTAGGAGATGATTGAATTAATTAAAAATTGAAGCCTATTGTTTTGAGAGATATACGTCAAATATTTTTGAAGAATAAGTTATTAGTTAATGAATAAAGATCTTTTAGTTTACAATAGTAAAATAAAATAAACAATTTAGCTTTATAATTCCTTATACATTTTTATTTGATTTTTATTTATACTTTTCATAGTGTAATTGCAGTTTAAGGTTATTTAAGTAAGTGCATAAAAAAATAAGCTATAATCCATTAAACATGAGAATAAGATTTTGAGCATTAGGAAACTTTAGGAAACAAAGTTTACAAAATGAAAATAGAAAGAACAAAGGATGATATTATTTTATAAGTTTTATTTGATATTGATTTATGTATATATAAAATATACAAATATAATTTAACAAATCAAACTAATTCTATTGATTCTGGTTTTGGAACATAGATCTAAAAATCATAAAATCTTTCAATGGCCAAATCGAATAAAAAAAGCATAAAAGTTAAAGCTAAAGCTAAATATAGTTATGGTCTAGAATAAAAAATGAAATAAATACGAGACTAAATATCTATAAAAATTAAATGAGGGAGATAATTCATAATTATTCACCATAATTAAGATTAGCCAATAAACAAGAATTGAAAATAAAATGAAAAATACTGTAAAGTTATAATTAGTATATGTAAAAGTGAATATTTTAAGATTGACAAGTAGAATGACAATTCCAAAGATAAATACTCCATCTTCAAAAAATTCCATTGTCATACCATTATTCATATTTAAATTTTCAGTAGAGAATGTACAGACTAGAAATATTATCAAGCCTTAAACCATTCCATTAAAAACCCATAGCCAGAATTTAATAACAGTAAAAATGGGTTATTATCTAAATTAAACATAGACATCAGGTTTATATTCAAGTAAATTGTGTGTTGTTTTGCCCCATTATAAATATTCAGAGGAAGGATGCATTTCATCAAAGAGTGCATATAATACTTAAGGTAGAGCAGCAAAAACTGTATTAAATAATTAAGACAACCATTGATCATATAAGTATTATCCACTAAAACCATTTAGAAATCCAAACCAAAAATAAGGAGTAATAAACACTTAATTTTTAAAAAATATGTATAGAATTGTAAGTGCATTTCTTCTTGAACATTCAACTCCATAATAAAACATTAATCTTTTTAGATGTTTAAATTCTTAAATTGCAAAATCAGCAGCTCTAGCAGCTTAAGTCCCTTCAACTCCTTAAATTCCAACACCAACATGTGCCTTTCATAAATATTTCAATTATACTTCATTTATCATAGAAACATCATTAGCTCCATCTCCAATAGCTAAAGTATATGCTTTTGGAAGATGTTCCTTAACTAATGCTACAACTTATTACTTTTATTTTGGAGAAACTCTAGCCACTATAACAACTTTAGCATAGAAAGCTCTTTTTAGTAGCATTGATTTAAGTTATGGATTATCTAACATTACTGATAATGCTTATCCGCTAATCACCAATGCAATGTTAGCTGACTCATTACAATAATGCAAAAATACTTCCTCAATACTTCCAACTGTTGTCTCAGTGACTACCTACAGCATATCCTTGCTTTCTATCAAATTACATGAATATCCTATTGATATTGCTGTTTCAACTTTATCTCCTGTAAGAACCCAAACCTTTATATCTGCAGATTTTAAATCTTATATTGTTTATCCAACATCATCTGCTAACAAGTCTTCTACAGCTGTTATACCCAGAAATTCTAAATTAGATTCCAATATCTTTTGTAATTTATTCATCATCTCCTCATCCTTATCCTCTTAAGCTCTTTTGTAACTATTACATTATTAAATAATTATACTCTGCCAAATATATTTCCATTTCATTTTGATTATAAGTTTTTCTGCCTAACATTAAAGTTCTGTATCCCTTAACTGCAAATTAATGAATGATATTTTAATGTTTACATTCTCCTATTAACTCTAGTAATACTTCATCTGCCCCTTTACAAAATAAAATATACTCATTTCCTGTTTTTACAACTATTGTCATCCTCTTTTTTTCACTGCTAAAATCAAAATTCATTACACGAGGAAATTATGTATTGTTTATGGTGATATGATTATTGTTATCAATGCCTTAAAATAAATAACCTTTTTATTCACAATAATCTAAAATTGCCAATTCATCAGGAGAAGATCCTATCAATTTATTTTTTGATTTTACAACAGAATGACACAAACTCAAACACAATAAGGCCTCTTTCTCATTTTAAGTATACATATCTCTAAATTGCATACAGTTCTTAGTTAATGTACCTGTTTTATCAGTAAAAACTATATTAATTTCTCCTAATTATTCAATCAAATTAGATTGATGAGATTTTGAATTAGGCATCACTTTGTCTGATTCTAACATTTTTGCTTAACCAAACTTTACTAATTCCACATTTACAACCAAAGATATTGGTATAAAATATGAAAGTAACGAAAACCATAGACCTAAATCTACAAATACATTATCTTTAGAAAGTCCTAAATATGAATAATTAAGATGATTGTTTGTCCATAGAAATTCATAGATTGAAGCCATTATACAAAATAATGCCAAGGTGATTGATATAGAAATAATGCAGATTCTCATATAATATTCTAATCTACTTCTTTTTGTTCTTTCTTGAGAACAATTAAGCATAATTTTGCAGTCCATACCACTGTAAATACATAAACCTATTATCCATTCTGTATTTTTTAAGATACAATCTCTTTCAATAAAATTACCATAATTAACTGATTCAACTTCAGAATTACTTATTTAAAATGTTCCTGATAATTTATATAGAATTGGATTCTTCTAATCATATACAAACTTTACATTGTTATTTTTTTGCTACTAATTATTAATATACAAATACAAAATTGATAACATTATCTTTATGATATCTTTATTGTAAATTATAGATTGAGTATTTTTATTTTAAATTTGTCTCACCATCAATTTGTTTGGTCTCCACATAAGCAATACCTCCTTAATAACTTGAAGACAGTATTAAAATATCACATGGAATACTTTCATTTTCCATAACTAAAATAATGTCTGCTTAATAGATATCCTTCCAATTACAAACTATAAACTAATTATCAATATATTTTTGAGATTTCCTATTATTTTCTTCTTAATCAGATTTATATCTATTTTAATAAGATTTTTTACCTTGAATATTCTTCAATAGCATCTTTCAATATACTAATACTTATCATCATAGATAAAGGTCCATAAATTATTGGGACCCCATTAGTATAAGAAGTCACAGGTATTATTTATAATATTCCAATAACAATAAAATAAATATTAGCAGGTTACATAATTTGTTTTAGAAAGGCATATGGCAGAAAAGTCAACCAAGTAGTTTTCATTGTTGTAATAATGTTAGGTTTATCTCTTATTGGTGTATCGTCTGGTAAGATGATCTTTTCTGTTTATGATATCTATTCATTGATTTAGAAGTAATTCTTCATTGAATGATATTATTTTTCTGTATATTATATATATTTGTCTTTGTAATTATTCAATCCATTAATTTTGATAATAATTGTTATATATAAATAATTTATTAAAATTGATTATCAGTCTTAATTTTTGCTTTTATTTTCCTCATCAATAACTCCATTAGTTATACTTGAATCTTTTGAGAGAATTTCTTCTCTTATCGATTCATCTATTTTAATATTTACATTTGAAGGATCAAATTATTCTTAAGAATCAAGTTAATTTACTGCCTCATTTTCTCCTTCTTCTAAAGTTTCATTTACTTCTTCTTAAATCGTTTCATTTTTTTCCTCCTATGCTATTTATTTATTAATATTTTCATTATCATTATCATCCTTCTTATTTTCTATCTCATTTTCTCTTTCTGTCTCAGTTTAATCATTTAATTTATCTTAATTATTAGTATTTTCTTCTTGGATGTTTTATATTATTTTCTTAATTCCAGGAATTTATTATGAACTAAACATATGAATCTTGTGTAGAAGAGACTCTTATATTTTTTATCTCTTTAATTAATATATTTTATCCATATCTAATGTGAATTAATGAAGATTTTTTAAATCTTCAGCCTTTTCAGATGATAAAATACTAAGTTTTCTTAACTCTAAAATGTGGAAGTTATATTCTGATCCTAAAAAAAGAAATTTTGCATCAAAATGTATTGGCTTTCCTTTTTCTAATTTTTTAAATATTTCAATTTAATATTAAGATTCTTTTACTCCTAAAATTATATCTGGTAAATCTTCAGTTGATTCAGTTGGATCCATCTTTAAATAAACCCAATAATTAAATTGGAAATTTGGATCATGATTTGGTTTTGTTTGAATATAATCACTTTAAATGTATAATGTTAATTAAATACCCCTTCCATGAAACTAAATTATTCTTAAAATAATTTTCAAATTAATGCCTTGCTTTTAGACCATTATCAACAAATTAAAATTTTCCACAAAATTATAAGAATTCTACCCATGTTTTGTTTGCATAGACCTCTGTTTCAATTTAAGGATGTTCTTCCTCTTTAAAATATTCAAAGTAAAAAAACAAACATATGATTATGCTCAATAATATTAAAGCATATTTTCTTGAAACTACAAGTATGCAATTGCCAAATCTAAATTATAATACTTAATCATTTATATTTGGTAATTAAAAATATTTTCTTTTTTCCAATTCTTGATTACAATAGTAACATCTCTTAATTATCATCTTTTTATTTAATTATTTATTATACTTTTGTTGATTAAAATACTAATGGAATAATAAATATGCACCATATTCCAAAATAAAATAAAGAAACAAATGATATTATAAATGAAGCTGGAGATGGTACTTATTCTAAAATACTTTCCCTTGCAGCTCCACAATTTGGACATACAGGTTAAGAAGAATGAACTGCTGTTTCAGCTTGCTCTTCATTTTCAGTCTTTGAAATTAACATAATTAATTATATTAATGACAATATTTCATTAATTTTATATATTTTGATATAATTATTACTCCACAATTCATCGTTATTTTTATAACATAATTATACTTTAGACTACTTTATAGTAAATTATCATATAAAACTTTGCTTAAGATTTTAATTTTAAGTAGCTTTTGATTTCATAATTATTCTAATCTGAACTTTTAAACATTTAGTTAATCTTCTTCTATCTATTCATTTGCAAAAAATAATAATATATCATATTATAATATTTCACCTAATAATGTATCTATTTGACATTAATACTATCAAATAAATTAAGTTTATTTTCATTTTTTTAAATTTATAAAATTAACTAAAGATGATAAAAACTTTATTATTATTGAAATTCTTTATGTTAAAATACTTTTCATTTTCTTTTTATGAGACTTGAGTCTTATATGATAGAATATTTTAATAATTATGATAAACAGAAAAATTAATTTGTAAATTAAAAATTCAAGTAATTGATAATTTCAAAATTATATAAATTTCTAATAATCTTATTACATGAAAAGAACCGAAATACAAGAATAAAATAATGAACAAATAAATTAGTTGAAGTCATTAAATGTTTAAAATAATAATAAATGCAAGAATAAATGATAATTTTTTAAAATTAATAAGTAATATGATTGTAATCATATCTAGATATAGATAAAAGGATGAGTTAATTTGAGTTTAAATAATTAATATTATATTAGCAGTTATTTTTTAATTTAAATGGGAAATTGTGCTACTTGTGATGATCCATCAATATATGAGAATGTAAAACCTGTTAAGAATAAAATAAATTTGGAAAATTAGGAAAACATATAATAGCTGACTCCAAAGAGTAAGTTATCTTAGAGCATAGTAAAATCAGAGAATGCTAGTATGATTGCATAATCACATATTAAGTAAAAGAATGGAATATAATAATAGATAAGATTTAAAGAAATTAGATTCAATGCCAGATTTCACGAATTAATATACAAAAGCATTACTAGAGAAATTATAGTAGTTTAATTACGATCAGAATGAACTATTTGAATTTAAATAACTTCCATTTTATGGACCAGTAGAGATGGAGCCGAATGTATTTTATTAAGGTTAATGGAAAAATGGATTAAGACATGGTAGAGGAAAGTAAGTTTGGGTTGATGGTTCGATTTATGAAGGATTTTGGTTTTAAGATAAAGCATGTGGATGTGGAAGATTAATTCATGCAGATGGAGATCTTTATGAAGGATAATGGTTAAATGATAAAGCTCATGGTTTTGGAATTTATAATCATAAGGATGGAGCATTTTATAAAGGAGAATGGCATGAAGATTAATAACATGGAAATGGTATAGAAAAATGGTCTGATGGTTCTATGTTTGAAGGATCATATAATAATGGTTTGAAAGATGGTTAAGGAAAATTTAATTGGCCAGATGGTAGTTGTTATGTAGGGGAATTTATAAATAATAATATTCATGGAAAGGGAAAATATTAATGGGCTGATGGAAGAGTTTATGAGGGTGATTGGAAAGAAAATTAGATGGAAGGGAAGGGAATTTTTACATGGCTTGATGGAAGGTAAAGATATGTTTAAATAAAATAGAAAATATATAGGAGAATATGTTGATGATAAGAAACATGGTTATGGAGAGTTTTATTGGCCTGATGGAAGAGTATACAAAGGTTAATGGAAAGATGGTAAATAACATGGAAAAGGAAAATATAAAGGGATAAATAATGTTTAAAGGGATGGAGAATGGATAGAAGGAAAATTATAAAAATGGATATGATTAACTGATTAATTATCTCCTTATCAAAAATAAATGTCTTCTTATTAATTGAGAGTTATTTTTGTTCAATTTTTTAATGATACAACAAGCTATTTTTAAAAAAATTAAATTTGAATTAAATTTAAATGTTTTAAATCTACTTTAGTATCGAAGCATTTCCATTCTATATTTAAATACTATTGTATCTTAATTAAAAAGCGTATATTTAATAATTACAGTTAATATCAATTTATGTATTGCAGGGATAAAAATATATCTTAAATTAGCCAGATCTGAGACACTTAGTTCATTCATTCTTTTGCTAATTTATAAATTTAATTTTTCATAATCATTTGCAGTAGGTAAAAATAATTTTTATATTTTTTGAATTTATTTAATTATTAAACTAACAAAAATAATTAAAGTTATCTCAAATTCGTATTCAAAGAAAACGAAATTGACTAATAGAAAATAAAATTGATTGATTAAAATAGTTTAATATAAGAAAAATTGTTTAATATTAATTAAAAGTGAATATTAAAATTAAGGGATAATTTTTATTTATGGGATGTTTATCAATAGTAAAAAGTTATAGAAAATTTGATTTGAAGTAAGTGGATGATTAATTGAATAAAAATGAGATCTTTATGTTAATTTATTAGTAATTTCTGCATTTGATATATCCTTAACTTTATTGTATATAATAAGATAGAAAATAAAATATCAGTAAAACTATTATTGTAATTTGAAAAATAAAATATTTTAAATAAGGTTAAAGTTGAATAAATAAATTTTTTTTATAAAGATAGTGTTATCTTGAGAATATGAAAAAGACAAAGTGAAAATAGCTGATTTTATTTTAAGATATATAATCATCATAAACATATCAATTAATTTCAAAATCTTATCAATGAATTTTTCATAATTATTTTTTTAGCGAATCTGAATCTTCTATTTTTTTGCAATTTAAATGAAAGTCTCTAAGTTTGTTATCATAATAATGATTGTAAGACTTAGTATTTTTGGGACTTGCCGTATTTCTTTATTTAAGTTCTTTAATTGTTTAATTTTCTTATTTGATTACTTTATTATATGAAAATATGTTTACATTTGATGAAATCTCTTAATTTATAAAAATAATTCTTTCTATGATCAGCATTAGTATCAATTCCTGAATGTCCAATATTTTCTACCTCCCAATATTCAAATAATCTTTAACAATTATTTGCTAATAACTTTGCTTAAGTGTAATCAATAATTTCATCTTCTAAGCCATGCATAATAAAAACTGGACATGTAACATTTTTGATTCGATCAACATTTGGAAAAATATCATAAAATGGAGTTGATTTCAATTTATTATTTAAAACTCTGAGTCCAGAACTCAATCCTGAATGAACTACTAAACCTCCAACTGGAAATTCATCATCAGAAACTAACATAACACTAGGTNTTATGTATTAAAATTAAGGGATAATTTTTATTTATGGGATGTTTATCAATAGTAAAAAGTTATAGAAAATTTGATTTGAAGTAAGTGGATGATTAATTGAATAAAAATGAGATCTTTATGTTAATTTATTAGTAATTTCTGCATTTGATATATCCTTAACTTTATTGTATATAATAAGATAGAAAATAAAATATCAGTAAAACTATTATTGTAATTTGAAAAATAAAATATTTTAAATAAGGTTAAAGTTGAATAAATAAATTTTTTTTATAAAGATAGTGTTATCTTGAGAATATGAAAAAGACAAAGTGAAAATAGCTGATTTTATTTTAAGATATATAATCATCATAAACATATCAATTAATTTCAAAATCTTATCAATGAATTTTTCATAATTATTTTTTTAGCGAATCTGAATCTTCTATTTTTTTGCAATTTAAATGAAAGTCTCTAAGTTTGTTATCATAATAATGATTGTAAGACTTAGTATTTTTGGGACTTGCCGTATTTCTTTATTTAAGTTCTTTAATTGTTTAATTTTCTTATTTGATTACTTTATTATATGAAAATATGTTTACATTTGATGAAATCTCTTAATTTATAAAAATAATTCTTTCTATGATCAGCATTAGTATCAATTCCTGAATGTCCAATATTTTCTACCTCCCAATATTCAAATAATCTTTAACAATTATTTGCTAATAACTTTGCTTAAGTGTAATCAATAATTTCATCTTCTAAGCCATGCATAATAAAAACTGGACATGTAACATTTTTGATTCGATCAACATTTGGAAAAATATCATAAAATGGAGTTGATTTCAATTTATTATTTAAAACTCTGAGTCCAGAACTCAATCCTGAATGAACTACTAAACCTCCAACTGGAAATTCATCATCAGAAACTAACATAACACTAGGTCCAGATCCTATACTATAACCATATACAATAATTTTTGTAGGATCAAATTTTAATTAAGTAACCAAAAAATCATAAGCAACTTATACATTGTTTATTATATTGAGATCTGTACATTTTCCTTAAGATAATCCATAACCTGAATATTCATACGCAAATACATTTATTCTTAAATTAGTACACAAATCTAGTTTTATAAGAATATATTTATTACCAATTAATGTATCAATCATATAACCCAAATCACTTGCATTTCCATGACTAAACAATATTACCATATCGCTCATAGGAAAAGTGCTTTTAACATATATGGAAGCTATCTTATGACCTTTTCTCCCTTTTAAGAAATATCCAGTCAACTCTAAATTATCTTGTTTTGGTATGCTAACCTCTTTTCCATGTTCATCAATTAAATAAAAATCATGAGAAGGACATGTAAGACTTATTATATTAAATTTTACTCCTCTCTCGATGGACTCGTACTTCCACTTGAAAATTGCATCAGCTCTTCAGCTAAATCCAATAATCCAAGTTAGTTTATATTTTCATCATCATAAGATTTTGATTTCTATCTTATAAATTACTCATCCTCTATTTATTAAATGGAGCAAACATTTTTATATGTGCTTTAAGTTGTATTATCATCAATTCTGGGTTTTAAAGCATAACTAACTTTTGGTGGTTGGAATGCGATGTTCTTTAATATTTTTTATCTCAAACCACAAAAACTAAGTGATTAAAATATTCCAACTGTTAATGAAGACTTTAGATTAGACATAGCAAATTTTTGTTAATATAAATTTGATTAATCTTTGAAAATACTTCCTAATAATATCATTATGATTATAAATAACTTAAAATTTAATTGTCATTGTGGGAACAATTTTTACAACAGTTATTAATAAAAAGATTTAATAATCAGATTAATCCATTTTTAAACTGTGCTAGAAAAATCAATAAAAGAATGATTAAAATTATTACTCAATTACAACAGTATGTCTTGAAAATAATTTAAAAGAATATTTTTACTTCTTTATTTAATTCTCATTAATTTTATTAATTATAATAATATTATTTTTTCTATACTAAAATCTTTAGATTATAAGAAAAATTTTTTAAACAAAAATTGTTAGCCAAAATGAAATGTTCCTGATTTGATTTAAAATCTCTAAAATCTAATTATCAAATATTACAGAAGCTAACTTCTTATTTTTTTAAAGCCAACATTATTTGAAAAGAGTTTATAATTCAAAATCATATTTGTATCTTAAATTTGCAAATTGTAATTTGCTATTTTTAAAATCATAAACTATTCTTTTATGAAATAAACTTTTTTTAAGGAAAACATAATTTATTCATTAGAAGATAATTATTTTAGTAATTTTGAAGATTTAAATTATAACTTATATTAATAATTGATAATTTTAATCATTATTATCCTGGATTATGATCCTTAAAACTACTAAGACAAATTTTCATCATTGATTTGTTGAAATACAAAAAAATATTCCAATAATTTAAACATTTTATTAATAAACGAAAAAAAAACATTAAAAAATATAGTTTCTTTAAATAATATTATTCTTTTTTGCTTTAAACTCATAAGTATACATAATTATACTTATAAACTAATTTTGAAAGCTTTTATTCATTTATCTGCAAAACTTTTGATACCAAACTGCTGTTTAATTTTATAAAAAAACTAATTTTTTCTTATTTTTTCAGCTTTTCATAAATAAACCATGTAAAGGAATATAGTTTATACTAATAATTCTTTAAAGTTCATGTAATTTTCAAGCTCTAAATAAACAATCATTAATTTAAAAATGAATAATAAATATTATTTGGTTTAATAAATATATCATATTTACAATTTTAAACAACACTTCTTCATGTCATTTTTGTTTTATACCATATTTATTCCTTGTTAATGAGAAAATTTTTACATCAATGAGAATAAGCTTTCTTTAAGTTCTTAAGAATTCATCGGAATAAACTCATCTTATCTGAGTGATATTTTAGGTTTTTTTTCAATTCTGGGTGTCTTAACCCTTTTTATTAATTTTTATAGATAGTTTAATTCAGTTGCTGTGGTAGTTTAGACAATAGTTTCAGTTTTGTTTATTATTGGAGAATGGCAGCATTACTTATCAGATTTCTCTGATTTAATTCTTTTAGTTCTCTGAACTCTTAATTTTGGTGAAGCTTAGTGTCTATCAACTGACTTAAAGTTTAAGTCATATTGTAATGATGGCAAAATTAATTTTGATGTTCTTTTTCTTTCTTAAGATGATCCAAAAACAACAGAATGTTTATTTGATGTTGCTTTTATTGGGTTATTATTAATTTTGCAGGCCAGAGAAAAATTATTTTAATACACATTATTATATTTGAACCTTTGAAAATTAGGAGAAGCATCAAATCTATCATTTTCAATTGTTTTCGTCACTTATATCGTTTCTATTACAGGGACATATATCATTAATAAAATTTATAATATATTTTAAGTTGATGATATCACTTTCTTCGCTTTTATTTTTCATATGTAAAATTATTATAAAATAATTATCATATACAATATATTTCATTAACAAGTTTTTAAAAGTCTTAAGTGTTCTTCTCTTATTTTAATAAACTTATCATTAAATGAATTGAGCATATTAGTTAAATGTTTAATTTATTCATTTTGTTAAGCAATGTGTTAAGCAGATTAATTATCATTTACTGATATTGATTTGGATTCTAGCTACTTTATTTTTTCATCAGACCTTTCATTAAGTTATTTCCAAGCTTTTATCTATTATTCTTGGTTTTTTATTTTTTCTTTTAAGATCTCTATTTCCTTCTTATAATTTTCTTCCTAAATCAACATACTCATATGTAATGCATAATATTAATCATTATTTTAATTTAAATCTTAAGCAAGGTTTATTTAATCATTAGTATTCATTCGAGAATCTGGTTTTAAATCAGTTAAATCAAAAGAATTCATTCTAGACTCTCTTCTTGAAGCTTCTCTAATCTTTTCATTCAAACAAACTTCTTTTTAATGAAATTCCTAATTTAATTCAGTAATCTTTTATGAAAGTGATTAAACTTCAGTTTCTAATGATAAGGTTCTTTTCTTTTCATTTTAAAAAGAATTAAAAATTTCCTAAAAAGAAGACTATAATTTATTAATTTATCTATCTTTATCTTCAATAAGTTTAGTATAATATAATTTCTATTAAGATAATTTTTCTTTTATTAGTTCACATTTTTATTCTTGTTTTATGTATTACATAATTTTTAATTTCAACTATTCATTCTCTAATTTAGTATTTTCTTTTAATAAATTAGCTTCTTTTATTTAACTTAACTGAGACTAAACCTTTAAATCTAATTCTCTTGTTTTTTACTAACTTTACCATAATTATTTATTTAGTTCTTCTAATTCTTTAATTTTCTCTTCATTAAAAGAAGATCTTCTCTCTAAATTGTTAATAAATATATGTTTTACCATGAGATTCAATCATGACTATTTATTCTGTCTTTTCTTTATTATCCTATTCCAATTTTTTAATTGCCATCTTTTATTCTATAATTTCATTCATCAAAACTTAGTTTTAGTGTATCAATTTATGATTTTCTGTTTCTAATTCATCTATTTTATCCAATAAACTTTTATCTTCAGATTATGTAAATGGTTCAACTAAAGTTTGTAAAAATTAAGAAATTAATTCTTATTTTTACTCTGATAATTATAAGACAGGTACAAAAAAGTCGTCTTAGAAATCACTCTATAAAATTAACTAAGACATAGAATGAATATAAACTTAACAAATAACTCCGATTAATTTTAAAATTTAACTCTCATTTCTATCTTTTGCTATTTCCATTACATTTACATCTAATTATTTGTGTGTAAAATCTGTTAATTTGTCAACAATCAATTTTAATCTAGACATATTAAGAGCCCAATTATCTGTATATGATTAATTTTCTAGAACCTAAATATTTAATTTAAATTGTACATGAAAAGTAGACCCAAAATGATCTGTATTAATGTGATTTAATATTTGAATAAATAATGTCCCATCAGCATATTCTTTAAAATTTGTATGATATTTTAAAAAAGTAATCTTATTCATCCAATCTACTATCGCTATCAAGAGTTCTTAATTTTACATTTTTTAATTAAAAATAAATTAAATTTAATATGCGGGGATTCTTTACCTTTGCCAAACAATTTATCAGCTTTTCTACAATGAAAACTCAATAAATGAAAGTATCAATTAGATTGTAAGTTTATAATATTTTTATTATAGAGTCAATAAATCCATTAATGGTTAATTTAGAATGTGTTCCTCTTTAACAGCATTAAGAATGGCTAATCTCTTTGGAACAAGTCAAATTACTTCAATTGAAGATATTGATGGAGGTAAAATAGACTTAATACATAGAATCTGAATTAGATATTCAAATTTCTCAGCTGCTATCATTGTCTCTAAAAGCAGAACAACAAATGCTACATTGAAGAAGATGATTTTTATTATGTATAAAAATAAAATAGATCAATATTTATTGATTTAGATTTTTTATGATCTCATAAGATTTAATTAAAGAAAGATGCAGTTCTTAATTCATTCTTATTGAACTCAGTAATCAATTTTGATTTATATGAAAAAATTAATTGAATCCAAATAAATTTATATATATTTATAAATTGTTTAAATGATCAGGATCTAAATGACTTAAAAAGATTTAACATTTAGATAGTGCTTTATGAAGATTATAAATATGAAGAAACTTTAATTTATGATAGAAATCTCTATTTGCATACACTTAACCTTAATTTTCGTTAAATCAAATCTGTATTGAGAAGACAATGTTTTAAATTTAATGAATTAGGAATTAATAGTTATAGGAGGATTTTCAATTATATTAATCAAAAACTAAAAATGTGAAAAATATTAGTAAATAAAAGTTCTTAAAAAACCTAATCGAATAATTTATTCACCTAAAATTATTGAAAACCTATAATAATTTATTTTATATATATTCTAAATAAATTTAAGGTATTTCTACATTTTTATTATTTTTATTATACACATTATTATATTTTCTAAATCTCTCTAAGTAATGCCTATTTTAATATAAACAAATTATATTCAAAACTTAAGAATAATTTGAGTATTGAAATACAAGTTATTTAGCACATGTAAGATTGATAATTATTAATTAATAGAAAGTTACCAATATTAATAAGTTGAAGAGTATTTTATTTTTCAATAAAAGAAAATATTTTATTATTTATATAATAATGAATCAATTAAGAAATTAAAGAGGAACAACAGAAGATGAAGTATATATTGATCCAGAAAGAGGAATAGCTATTAATTCAAGATAAATGACAACAGAATAACATTTCAAATATTATAAATCGTCATTTAGCACATTAAGACCTGATTTGACTGAATTTGAATATGAAGCATTTGCAAAGAGATTAAGAATTGGTAAAATGAAANATAATATTTTTATTATAGAGTCAATAAATCCATTAATGGTTAATTTAGAATGTGTTCCTCTTTAACAGCATTAAGAATGGCTAATCTCTTTGGAACAAGTCAAATTACTTCAATTGAAGATATTGATGGAGGTAAAATAGACTTAATACATAGAATCTGAATTAGATATTCAAATTTCTCAGCTGCTATCATTGTCTCTAAAAGCAGAACAACAAATGCTACATTGAAGAAGATGATTTTTATTATGTATAAAAATAAAATAGATCAATATTTATTGATTTAGATTTTTTATGATCTCATAAGATTTAATTAAAGAAAGATGCAGTTCTTAATTCATTCTTATTGAACTCAGTAATCAATTTTGATTTATATGAAAAAATTAATTGAATCCAAATAAATTTATATATATTTATAAATTGTTTAAATGATCAGGATCTAAATGACTTAAAAAGATTTAACATTTAGATAGTGCTTTATGAAGATTATAAATATGAAGAAACTTTAATTTATGATAGAAATCTCTATTTGCATACACTTAACCTTAATTTTCGTTAAATCAAATCTGTATTGAGAAGACAATGTTTTAAATTTAATGAATTAGGAATTAATAGTTATAGGAGGATTTTCAATTATATTAATCAAAAACTAAAAATGTGAAAAATATTAGTAAATAAAAGTTCTTAAAAAACCTAATCGAATAATTTATTCACCTAAAATTATTGAAAACCTATAATAATTTATTTTATATATATTCTAAATAAATTTAAGGTATTTCTACATTTTTATTATTTTTATTATACACATTATTATATTTTCTAAATCTCTCTAAGTAATGCCTATTTTAATATAAACAAATTATATTCAAAACTTAAGAATAATTTGAGTATTGAAATACAAGTTATTTAGCACATGTAAGATTGATAATTATTAATTAATAGAAAGTTACCAATATTAATAAGTTGAAGAGTATTTTATTTTTCAATAAAAGAAAATATTTTATTATTTATATAATAATGAATCAATTAAGAAATTAAAGAGGAACAACAGAAGATGAAGTATATATTGATCCAGAAAGAGGAATAGCTATTAATTCAAGATAAATGACAACAGAATAACATTTCAAATATTATAAATCGTCATTTAGCACATTAAGACCTGATTTGACTGAATTTGAATATGAAGCATTTGCAAAGAGATTAAGAATTGGTAAAATGAAAATATATGATTAGGTGAATTATTTTTAAATCATATGAAAGTATTTATTAATCATGAATCAGGAAGGGTTACTAATCTTTACCCTGTTGGTGCAAGACTTGAAAAAATGTTGGTATATTTCAATTCCATTTTAGAACTATTAAAATCAATATTTTCATCTTAGAACACCTTTTATTCTTGGACATAGAGCAAATTCTAATAGAAATTGGGCTGATGCTTCTAAAGTTGTGAATTATTTAGAAAAATAATTACTAAAAATTACAAAATATGGTAATTTTATTTATATATTAATCTTAATTAGGATTGGATTATCCAAATTATTATGCTCCAAGAACTGAAGATGAACTCAAAAAGAGAGAAGATGAAATTTATGAACGTTTTATAAGAGAAATGAGAAAACCTCCAGTTGTTGTAGCTTAATGATTTATTAGTATAAATCAATCAAGATAAATTAATAAATATTATTTTTTATCTACATTATAATGCTATTCTAAAATACAAAAATTGATCATATTTAATTCATATTATAAAACTAAATTAAATTGTAATAATTAGTGCATCAGAAGATATTCTTTTAAAATAATCTAAATCAAAAATAAATTATCTAATAATTCATAATCATTGTTATTTATATTTTTAATATCTTAAACCTATTATTTTAGATGAGCCAACATATATCACATTTATAATATTAAGATGAAAACTCTAGTACATAAAGCTCTGAAGGGGAAGATTATATTCCAAAAAGAATTGTTTCTAAATCAAATACTAGAAAAATACATAAAATACCTATTGAATAATAGAAATAATTATTTAGATAAGTATTTTAAGAAGGAAAATAGATAAAGGAAGTAATTTTTATTATTCTAACTTTTAGGTTGCGAAAACTTTAAATCTCAATTATTCTAGTGCTAAATCTCTTATTCATTACTACAAAAATAATAAACGCTCTGTTCCAATAGCTATTCTTGATGTACTTAATACTAAAAAAACAACTGGGTATAAAGTCTCTAAAGCAATACCCCAATCTAATAATAATCTAAAAATAGAAGTCAGAGAAAATAATAAGCTCATTCATTCCTATTGTTTCTATGAACATCTAGCTACAAGTAGTTGATTATTATAATATATAAACTTATTCATTTCAAGCACTTTTTGATTTATAAATAACAATAATATTTTAAGGATTGTTTTAAATAACTATAATGTTATCATAATCATTTTTTAATTCCTAAATCATTCTAATTCTTAAAATAATCTATAATTTAATTTAAACAATATTCATATAGTGATAAATATAGCACAAATTATTTAATTTGAACACTTCTAATTCCTTATTTAATAAAAATATTTATATTATAATAAAATATCATATATTTGATTAAAATTTTATATATTTTATTTCACTTAATTTATCAATTTAACAATGTAGAAGGTAAATAATAAAATATTTTGCTAGCTCTCATAGTAGTTTGAGCAAATGATTTTAACACTTCTTTTAAATGTTTCTATTATTAATATATATGTATATTTACATCTGGGATATTTTAAAATTTATAAGATTACTTTATTTCTTAAATACTTGCTCCAATATCACCTTTTGATCTCAAAAAATCTATCAAATTAGTCTTTAAAGTTTTCTTATCCACTTCTACTTGTGGTTTTTAACTTGTATTTTGTTCTCTAAATTCTGAATTTTAATTATATAAATACCTAAATGAGGAAGTTAAAAGGGATCAGGTAATGAAAAATCACTTAAACTTTCACTTATTTCAAAATCTGAACTACCTGTTTAAACAATTTATTTCGGTTTTTGTTTTTTGCTATAATAAAGGTGACGAAATTAAGATTACAAATCTTCTACATCTTTTTAACAATTTTCTATTTTTGCTCTTGCTTTATAAGGTAAGCAATTAATATTTTAAATATCTCTAGGTTCATTATAAGGAGGTGATGGTATTAATAAATTACATTTATTCATAGGTTATCTTAATTCACTTATATTCATTCTTATTGATTATTTTTCATCTTTATCATCTTCTATTATTAAGAAATATTCATTGTTTTTCATTTCCAAACTAGCCTTCAATTTTTCTTAATATTTATCTTATTTCTCTAACTTTTTCGTCCACTATAAGAATTGATATCTCAATTCTGTTGGCAATTCAATTTCAGCTAAACATGTTTCTTACTCAAAAAATGACTTATTTTATTTTTACATTAAAATAATTAATTTTCTACAGTTATTTTAATCTGATCATTAAATCTATGTTGTCATTTTTCTAATTAGATTAACCTTAGTCCAACATTCTTTTAAGTTTTTGAAATTAATCAAGAATTGGTAGAAAATTTTCAAGTCTCATAAATAGATGAAGAAAAACTGAAATAATCATTAAATCATAAAATAGTGATAAATTATTTTAAAAATTGAAAGGAAGAAAAAGGTAATAATTAATATTAATAGAAATAAGAACTTAATATATTTTTTCAGTAGTCTAAATAGAAACTCTTAGATAATTATGCTTTTAATTTTGTTATTGACTGAATATATTAAGAGTTTGATCTAATAAATAAAAGGGGATTTAATTTTATTAAAAACAAAAACAAATCATATTGCTATACAAATATTTCAAAGTAATAGAAGCTAATCCAAAGTATTAGAAAATTATTAATTATAATAATCATTAGTTTTTATATGTA